CATTTGACAATATCATGACAAAAGAAAAGAGAAAAAGAACACAGTCTCAAAGATAGACACATTAAACAGATAGATAGAAAGAAATTGAAAGAAAAAGATAAAGAAAAAGATAAAGTAAAGAGAGACTATAACAAAACAAATTATTAAAAGAGAGTGTATAGCTGTTTTAACAGACTATATCTGATTGATTTCCTCCTCTTCATATTCAGATAATTCTGAATTTAGCCATTTTCTTGTAGCTGCTTGAGTTTCTGATAGAAAGTCTATTAAGTATTTAATTCCTGTCTCAGTTGAGAATAAGAATCTCATATTTAATTGATTTAGATCATACTTCTCTTTCAATCTGGCTCTGAGACTATTGTATAATGCACAGTGCATTACAATATACTCAGGATTCTCATTTGTATTGCAGAATGAGCATTCTATTGAGTCAAATCTATCATCAAATCTTTGTATATAAGATTTGAAATAGCCATGTCCTAGTTTCAGCTGTATTATAGATGAGAATATTTTCTTTTTACATTTAATTGAACAAGATTTCCACTTGGGTTTTGTTTCAAATCTTGAATAATGTATACTCTTCTTTTGTTTCTGCCAGCTTTCATTCCACTTGTCTAAACAAGATTCTTTTATTTTTCTTCTTATAAAAGACCAGGACACAATTTTTTGAATAGATCTGCTTAATTCTGCACTCTTTTTTGCAGCTGAATCAGCCAATTCATTGCCATGAATATTCATATGAGCAGGAACCCAGTGCAGATGAATTATCAGCTTTGATGTTCTTCTCTTTTGAATTTTCAAAACAGAGTTTAAGATCAGTTCAAGATTCATTTGATCATTATAAATCTGACTATTTCTAAGTCTTTTTAAAGCAGCTTGACTATCAGAGAATATTCATGCCTCTTTCAAATAATTTCCTCTTTTATAAGATTTTATTTCAATGAGTTTGAAAGCTTTCACTATTGTAAATAGTTCAGCATCAAAGACTTCACATTCAGAGCCTAGATTTCAGAAATCTGAGATAAAATTAATATTATCTTCAGTATAAGCAATGCCTGCGCCTAATCTATTCAAGTTCTCATTTTTTGAGCCATCTGAATAAATCAGAATAGAGTCTTTTATATTGATTGTAGAAATTCTCTTCAAATGCTGTTCATATTCTTTCTCTTTTGATAGTTCACTTATTTGTAAGTCTATAAGAGATTCAAGCTTTTCTCTCCAGAGAGATAACTTCTCATGATCAACTTTTTCAACATTTAAAGAGAAAAATTGATTTTTAATCAGAGAGCATAGTCTGTACAGTTGAGAAGACATTTTCTTTGAAGAATTATTTTCATTTCAATCAAGAAATCTATTCCAATCCAGTTCATTTCCAGAGTTAATTAATGGAAATGAAGAAGAGACTCTTTCTCTGATTATATGATTTGAGCTCATCTTTACAACTCTCAGAGCATAGTTCATACAGGCCTTTTCAAATCTAATAGCAGAAGGAGGAATTGAAGCTTCAATTTTCATTGCTTTAATAGAAGATGATTTGAATGCTCTCAGAATTCTTCTCAAGGCTCTGTTTTGCAGACTTTGAAAGAGTTCAGTGAAATTCCCTTGATTATTTCATCAAACTTGAACTCCATAATCAGCTACTGATGTAATACAGGCTATATATAACTGTCTCATAGTCTGGAAGAATAGACCTCTCTCTGTATTTGATAGTCTGATTATGTTGTTCAATAGTCTTTCTGCCTTGACAGTTCTTTGTTGAATGTGATATTTAAAATTCAACTTGGAGTTTAATCATACTCCTAATCATTTGACATTTACACTGGGTTTAATCTCTCTATTCAAAAGAGTTAGAGATAGTTCTTTCTCATTGAATCTAGAAAAGAAATGAATTAACTCAGTTTTATTCATATTAAATTAAATTTGATTGATATCTGCTCTAACAAAGATTTCCTTTGCAGCTTCTTTAATTACTTTCAAATTCTCTTTGATAGTTTTTGAGCTGTAGACTAGATCAATATCATTCACATAACTCAGAGATCACACTATTCTCATATTTCTATTTTTGAATAGATATGCAGTGTATATTGCAAATAAAATGGGTAAGATTGAAGATCTCTGTGATACTTCTATTTTTATCTCAGTCTTGTCTTGTTTCATTCCATCAAAGAAGAGTTGTATAATTCTTTTAGATATAAAACAGTTAACTCATTTTATTAGAGAAAGTGACAGTTTTAATATCTTCAATGTCTGAATTAACTTTGACTTTGAAACATGATCAAATGCTTCTTTTATATCAATAAAAACTGCAGTTGAGACCAGACTCTCATGCTTTGCTATTTGAATATTATAAACAACTGAGAGAACAGTGTCAATTGCAGAACACTGTTTTCTATCTCTCATTTGTTCACTGAATAAAAGAGAATCACCTATAGAGCTTATAAAAGATAGTTGAGTAGCTATTATCTTTTCTAAAACCTTTTCTAGACAGTTCAAAAGAGATATTACTCTATATGACTTAGAAATTGAAGTTTTTCTATTAGGTTTTGTAAGAATCACTCCAGTGACTTCTCTCCAGCATTCAGAATGATATCCATTTTTCAAGAGATTGAAAAAGAGCTCAAAATATTCATTCTTTAAGTAGGAATATGTATTTTGAATAATCAAGTGATTAATTGAATCAGGATCTGCAGCAGTTTTAACAGAACTTGAGAAGATAGCTGACTCTAATTCATCTTATGTAAGATCGGGCCATTCCCAGTCATTTTCATCAATGTAGTTGAGAAGTGATATATTCTCTTCCTCTGAATCTGAATCTGAATCTGGTGAGTTCTGAAAGAGAATTCTCATGAAAGCTTGACATTTTTTCTCAAAAGAGTTTGCTGTATATGATTCATTCTGAAACTCATATTCTAAGGCTGGAAGTTTTGCTACACTTCTTGTTTTAGTATAGTTAAAAGCTTTAAAAACTTTCTTTTCTTATGCTTCTTCAAGAAATTTATTCCAGCAGTCTGTTTTAGCTCTTTTAATATCTGAAAAATATTCATTTCTGACAGCTTTGAACTCTTTATCAGATATTACATCATTCTTCCAATCTCTTCTAGCAGTAGCTAATTCTTTTCTTTTAGATAAGATATTCTCATTTCATCAAGGTTTTGAATACTCAGAAGATTTTCTTTTTGAAATATTATCTCTAACACTTGTTAGAATAATAGATGTAATAAGCTTCACTCTATTCTCAAGCATTTCATTTGAGATATCTTGACCAGAATTCCAATATAGCTCATTCTGTCTTTCAGATTTTAACAGTTTTATGCTTTCTTCAACTGCTTTTCAATCAGCTTTTTCAAAGTTATACTGATTAGAGAGAAGAGGATTTTCACTCATTTATTTTTCACTCAGTTCAATATCAAATTGAATAATCTCATGACCTGATTCTGATGTCTCATTTGAATTAATAAACCAGTTTACAAGTCTTCTTTTCATTAGATTTTGTGACATGAAGATTAGATCTATAATAGACTTCTATTTCATGCCTTTTCTAAAGAATGTTTATTGATCAGACTTATTAATCAAATCTATTGAATGCTCAAAGATTCATTCAATCAGATTATCAGCTCTCACTGCTCTCTTACATTCTGAATTTCATCAGAGATGATGTGCATTGAAATCTCCTGCAATTATAGAGTTTCTTGATGAAGTTATGTTCAGAAATCCTCTATCAATTGTTCAGATATTGTTATTTTTCTTCAATGACTTTTCATTATAGATATTTATGAGCTGTATAGTATTAAACTCATTTTCTTTATCTATAATATCACCCACCAGAATATCAGGGTTAGACATGATATCAAATCTTAGATTAAATTGATATCTTGATCTCTTTCTTCCATAGATCACTACTCTTGACTTTATCTCAGACTTTTGAGGTAAAAAGCAGTAGTAGCTTGAATGAGAAATGACATATTTTTGCTCAGTATCAAAATTCGGCTTCTGAAGCAGTATAAAATCAACTTTTTGTTCAAATGCAATTTGAAGACAAGAATAAATACAATTTGAGTTTCTATTCACATTATTTTGAATAAATGTGATTTTTGAAGAGTTTTTAAACTTTTTTTGTTGTTTTTGTTGTATATTCATACTAAAAGAGAGTAGAGTAGAATCTAATCACTATCATCAGATAGTAGATTATAACTGTTCTGAAAAGTAGAAATCTCAACTGCTTGCATTATATCTAGTTTATCATCAGAGTCATTTCTCAATTCTCTAATCTTAACAGGAGTTTGAGGATTCAAATTCTGTTTACATTTAGCTGGAGAATTAGAGTTTGAAGACTTAGATAGTTGAGAGTTTCTTCTTTTTGAGCTTGCAGTTGTAAGTCTACTGGCTTGACTCTTCTCTTCAGTTCTAGATTGACTTTGAGCTTCATCTTTTCTTCAGTTCTTTTGAGTTCTAGAAGCAAACATACATTCTTTTGAGCTAGATGCATGTTTTTCTTTGCAATTAGAGCACTTAAGCAGAGTATATTGACAAATTTCATCTCTTTTTGAGCATGTTTCACATTTATGCTCACTAGTTTTGTGATCTCTGGCACAGAATGCATATTTTGAGTCTCTAAAACATGAGATTGCAAAGTATTCATATCTTTGACAGTTTGAACACTGTGTTTGAGCTTTGAGATTCATTCTTGAGTCTTTGTATTCATGAACTCTCATTTTCAAACCTGCTACTCTTACTTCAGAGATCTTTGACTGTTCAAGTGTTTTTGTATATACTAGAACAGAGGCATTTCTCCTGCTTTGTCTGAACTCAATTGAATTTAGTCATACAGGCTTCTTTCTCAGTTGAATAGAGTTGTATTCTTCTAATTCATTTTTGAGAAGTAGCATTTCTTCTTCACAGTCAAAAATTTCAACTGGAATATCATGAAGAATGAATTTGTCTCACTTTTCATCTCTTTCAGATAGAATTGTTGTGTTTAGCAAAGATTCTACTACTGACTTTCAGAGATTCTCATTCTGAATAAGGAATTCAGCACTGAATTCAGGCATTGTAGTCAGAATGATGGAGTTTTCAAAGAATGATGGCTCAATTGAAGCTATAACTGGTTTTTGAACTTCAATATCAGTCATCAACTGAGAAAAGAACTGCTGATTAATTTCATTTCTGATTCTGAAAATGAGATTTGAGTTTAGCTTGTTTCTTTGCAGAATGTCCTGGTTTGAGACTTTGAGAATGAGTCTTCTATTTCTGGAGATTTGAAAGTTTTTCTCTTTTTGCATTTTCTTTTCCACTTTTCTATGAATAGAGGCATGAGCAGTATTCTTCTCAGTTTTCTCAGGATTTTGAGCAGGTTTTGAGACAGCAGGTTTAGAGACAGCAGATTCAGCTGCTTGAGCATATATTTTCTTCTGATTCAAAGAAGAAGAAGAAGTAGGAAAAAAGAAAGAAGAAGGACAAGATGAAGAGTCAGTGATTGTACTAGGAATTTTCAAGGTTTTTTGAACTGTGTTTGAGATTCCAAGTTTGAACTTGATCATCTCCTATAGTTGTCTAGCCTGAGCATGAAGAATTAACAGAACTTCTTCATTCATCTCACTCAGACACTGCTTTTCAAGAATCTTACTTACTTTTTCAAGTTCCTGTATTTCAAGAACTTGTTGTTTCTCTATTTCTTCTTTCTTTCTTCTCTTCAGAATTTCAATCTCAGAAATAGCATTTGAGAAAGCATCTTTTTCCACATCAACTAAGTGTATTTTTGAACTCATTGTTTTCACTCAATGAAAAGTTGGTCAGACTATTTCAATTGAGATATTTCTAAGTCTGTTTTCAATTGAAAAGTTGGTCAGACTGTTTCAAAAGAAGAATAAAAGACTTTTGTGTATAAAACATCTGATTTTTTTCACACTAGTTCAGTAACTAGGTTAGATTTTTGAAGAGAATCTAATAAACTAAAATTGATTTTTAAGATAAATCAATAAAATCTTTACAATCTCTTTCTTGAGATACAGTGAGAAAAAGTATGATATCAATTGATAATAAATCAGATGATATGACAGTTTTTGAGAGAAAAACTGATAAAAAATAAATCAATTTTTTGCAGAGAAATTGATTAAAACTATTCAATTTTATTCTAAATCATTCAATTCTTCTCACACAACAAGTGTGCAACTCAAATCAGTTAATAAAGAGTGTAAAAAAGAATTAAGTATTAATAAAAGCTCTTCAGCCACTGAAAAAGTAATTCTTACTTAAAAGAATATGAAATTATGACAGAAAACAACTCTGTTTTTAATTCTTTGTAAGAATATTGTGTAAAACCCAGAGAAAAACACCTTACTTTTTCAAGAGAAGTAAAAAACTATTTCTAAGATCTTTTTTTTTGCATTAACTGCTGCAGAAGAATGAGATAGAAACTGCTAAGATATGCACTACTGTATATTCTCTATCAAGACTTTCCCTCTTCAGAGTCTTGATATTATAGAGAATATAAGTCTATTTCTATATGATAATATAAATATTGTCAGCGGGATGTAGAGGAACTGGTTATTTATATCTCAAAATAGAAGACTTTGTCAATGATTATATCAATATAGAGTTAATTCTCAAATTCAATAGAAACCTAGTGTTGCTGTTCTCAATCCCTTGCAGAATCTATTGAATATTGAGGTATTAAAACTAGATTTAATATATCTCACTGTGCAGGGATCAAAGGCTCAGTCAGACCTTGGGGTATACTGATTTTATAGTTGTTGATGTGCTGTTGACTCGTTGTCTGTTGATTATGTGCTTGATATTATCGCCGAGGTATCTTTTTGTATTTTTCTGCCGGGGATGGGCCAGATTGGGAAGGGCGGTACGAGGGTGGGACTTGGCGTTGGTGTTTTGGAAAATCAAAGATGGACAGGGTTTTCGCGGAGGTCGCTCCTCAGATATCTCCACAACTACAGATCGGGGATCTTCCAAAATTGAGAAGATTGGTGCATACGGCTAGGTCTCTTCACCTAACAATTTGTATGGCAATTTGGCCCGGGGTTGTGGTGTGGTAGGGGAGAATGGGGGATAATCCCACGCAGGAGTTCCGAACGACGTCTGGTTCACGTTTGGCTGGATAACTCCACCACCACACGGGGTATGCGGTCGGCGATGGGGTCAAAATGCTCGTGTGATCGAGGGCTTTTCGATGGATCTATCGGCGGGTTCTTATTCGAAAAATCGAGCGAGTTCGTGGTGGAGCGGTTGTTGTATGTGCTTGATGTTTATATTATCTTAATTACTTAGATTTTACAGGTACTCAGAAACTCATCTCTTATTAATAATAAGATTGTGAAAATATGCTGCAGCGTGAGAATCATTGATAGAAAACCTAGGCATATTCACATATATCTGGTCAGAGATTGTGTGAACAGAGAGAGAGTAATTATAGGCCTGTAGAACTGCAGAAGACACTGGCATCACTGAGAGCTTTATAAGAACTGTTAGCTAGAGTCTGTAAGAAATTACTTATAAGAAGACTTACAGTAAAGAAGAGAATTATACTACTTAAAGTCAGAGACTGATCTGAAGAAGATATGAGATTAACTGCTGATCTGAAGATCAGATGCAGTGACAGAGCTAAGAAGAGTGAAGACACAGTTATAAGCAGCAGTGTCTCTGCTTCATTAGTCAGTAAAAAGTGATCAGAGAAGTTGCAGAGATACTTATAAGAAGCTCAGCAGTGATCAAATATTATTTATAAAGATATTAAAATTGAAAAATTTTTTATTCTTAAGAAGTTCTTGAATTAATATATAGACATTGTCAGAAACACTCTCTCTCTATTATCTGAGTAAAAATACTTCACAGATAAATGAGAATACTCACAGTTTATAAAAATGAAAGCTGTTATAGAAAAAGAAAAAAGAAGATGAGATTCTACAGACAGATCTGAGATATTTATACTACTTTAGAGAGATTTATTTACACTGTGAGTGATCTCACAGAACAGTCAGATCACTCTAGTAAATAAAAGTGATTATAAATTATAGATCTGAATCTTTCTATATAACTATAAAGAGTAATTACAGACTGTAGATATCTTGATTCTACAATTCTACAGAGTTAATAAAAGAATGAAAAATTCCTTACAATTTTACAGTGTTAAAGAATAATAATTTATAAGAATAAGTGAAAGATTAACTTGTAAATACTTCTCTTTAATAAGAATAATCTTATAGAGAGTGATTCATCTATAAGATGAATTTATATAATGATTACATAAGAATCTTGTGAAAATAATTAAGAGTCAATCAGAACTCTTCTATATAAAAGATATGAGATGAATCTGTATAATAGTCAGAGAAGAATCTGTAAACTATAAAGAATCTTATAGAATAAGAAACTGAGTGACAGACTCTTTTCTCTTTATAATAACAAGAGATTTTTTCTCACTGAGGTTTTTTTATAGATATGAAGAGTTTTTAGTAAGTATCACTGCAGTACTGAGCTGACTCTATGAAGTCACTCAGTGAAAGACTTTGTAGACAAAGTCTTAGAGAGAGAAAGATATATAAGAAATCTCACTTCTCACAGATTCTTTATTTCTATTTCTATCTCTTATATAATTAATAGAGCTAGCAGCTCTTGACTACACATAACTATATAGACTGAAGTTCATGAATACTATTCATAACTCAGCTTGAATGCTATTATATATTTAATCTCTACATTTTATCTTTCTACTGTAAATACTTCTAGTAGTTAATAGTACATATCACATCAAGCTGCAAATACCCGAATAATTGCCTGCGAGCACTTATTCTTACACTTTTAGAGTATACTTCTAAAATATCTCTTAATACTGTTAAAATATTCAGAGTATTTATTAGAAATTTTTAAGTTTATTCTGAAATTGAACTTATATATATTAATTACAGTAGAACTTATACTTAACAGTCTTATAATCTGTAGACTACTGAGATAAAAGAGCTTAATTATCATTAGTATCTACTGATAGAAGAGCTGATTAACTGTAGAACTCTTAATACTCTCTCTCAGATTAACTATCACAGAGTACAGTACTTTCTCTCAGTGACTCTTTTCAGTGATCTTCTCACAATGACTTCTTTTTAATAATGAACTGAATTACTCAGTTCTAGAGTTTACAGAACTTCTAAAGTATACTTCTGAGATATCTCTTAATACTGTTAAAATATTCAGAATATTTGTTAGAAATTTTTAAGTTTATTCTGAGATTGAACTCATGCATGTTGATCACAGCAGGGCTCACACTTAACAGTCTCATAATCTGTAGACTACTGGGGCAAAAGAGCTCAATCATCACCAGCGCCTGCTGGTAGAAGGGCCGACCAACCGCGGGACCCCCAACATATACATAACTATTAGTAAGCTGAGAGAATAGCAAGATCCGGAGATAACAATTCACGCTCATACATGACAGCGTTTCTTTTTTCTTGCCAGAGAAAGTTCCAATGTCAGATCACATCCAAATGCTTGATAATGAACAAAGCCTATTCGACCAACGAAAACGCAGCATTTACAAACTTTCCGCTAGTTTTTTGTTTTTAAAATGCCTGATTTGGCTCCATGATTCTCAACTGATTCAACTGATGACACTACGGAGCATGTATGTACGTATCGCATGCTCTATTTACGCGGTTATACAAATATACTTCTCGCCGTGTGTAAATAGCCACCCATCATTCAAGAATAAGGATGCACATGCATAGGAACAAATGCAGGGACAAATAACTTTGCCGGATCTGGAGCAAAGCATGCTCCTCCCCCCCCCCTCACGTCAATCCATAGTCCTTCCTCCCCCTTCCAACCTCATACCCTTTGTTGGCCCACAACACACGCGGACACACAGATACTGCGGATAAGGTGGGAATGAATGGATTGCACAGCTCTATTTCATTATTGGCTTTCCCGTTTCACCGCATCCAATAATGTGCAAATTTAATGCAATAACCTCCGGGTGAACTGCGTATGGAAAGCTGAATCTCTAACTAACTAACTAACTACGGAGTAACTAAGCTAGGCTGACGGATAGATCCTTCTGTTTTTCTCTTCCTTTATTCCTTTTTTTTTTTCACGCGGCTTTGTTGCCTTCCCTTCTGTTTGAGGAAGAAGGGTGTGCTTTTGGTTACGACATCTTCAGATGGGCACGGCAGAGTGGGGAATTCGGGAAGGGGGAGAGGGGGGGGGGGAGGGGTGTTCGTCGAGAAATTTTCAACTAGAGAAATCTACCGGATTGCTTCGAGGCTAGAGGTCAAGTGCCAGTCATGGTGACTGTGTATATATCAAGAAGCACAGCCCATTTAGTAATGGGGTCCGAAATTCAATACTTTGTCGTTAAGCTGTGCTACTAGCTCCGAAGGGATTCATATGTCTGTCTGTCTGTTGGTGCGTTGCATATATAATATATAGTTATCAGAGAAAAAACCCTTTCGGGTAATTCCGCACACGCATATTTTTTACGTGAGACTTTTTTCAGCCGGAGAAGTTTTGTCAGGGAAACAAACGTAATCCTATTTATGAGAAAATGGAGGGGGTCTGAGGAGAGTTCACCGCGCAGAATCCCTTACGACAGACAACCCCAGCTGACACCGTTTCGCTACGTCTCATACGCACTTGCTTCTTCTTCAGTTTATCACCGGAGAATGGAAGCTCTTTGCATGCATGCCCCCCAGCAAAATATCAGGTGCTGACGCGCAGCTATATTATCCACGGAAAATTACCGTTTCACGAGCGGAGATAATAAAGGAGTTTGCG